TAGTGTGATTAGTCAGTTTATGCATGCTCCACGTACACCTCACCTTGAGGTAGCTCATCATGTTCTTCGCTACCTCAAGGGTTCATCTGGTAAGGGGATATTGTTTGGCAATCATGGCCACTTGCGTGTTGAAGCCTATACTGATGCTGATTGGGTAGGGTTTGTGACAGATCGACGATCTACTTCAGGATATTGCACATTTGTTGGAGGTAATCTTGTTTCATGGCAAAGCAAGAAACAGTCTGTAGTAGTTAGATCTAGTGCAGAGGCTGAGCTCAGATCCATGGCACATGGAATTTGTGAGTTGTTCTGGCTACGTACGATGTTGGGTGAGTTGGGTTATCCTGTTCGCGAGTCAATGAAGTTATATTGTGACAACGAGGCTGTTATTAGTATTGCCCACAATGCAATTCAACATGACAGGACAAAGCATATTGAAGTCGATCGACACTTCATCAAGGAAAAGCTTCATCTTGGGCTGATTTGTATTCCATACGTCAATACATATGATCAGGTTGCTGATGTTTTGACTAAGGGTGTGAGCAAGACTTGCTTGCAAAATATGTTAGTCAAGCTGGGCATGATAGATATATTTGCACCAGCTTGAGGGGGAGTGTTGTCAGTGGCTTATTTGTTATTACTTATATAAAGTTGGGGCTTATGTGTAATTTTTGAAACTTCTTATTATAAACAGAATGTGGTGGAAGGATGAAAGTATTCTTTTTTTTTTCTTTTTTCTCTCTCTCTCTCTCTCTCATCCGTGCTTTTTTTTTTTTTCACACTTACTCTTGATTTGATTATATCTTAAAGTCAACAATCTCATCCATCCCCTCACTCTCCACCACCACCTGGTTGTAGAGCAAAGCTTGGAACTCAGTGACCTCCGTAAGCTCCCAATCATGAAAATCTCTGCGGAACTGCACATCCTAAGTTAACCTTTTGTTATCAAGTTGATAACAGTCAGAGCAACCTGAGCTTGTCTGCTCATGGAAATCCTGAAGAGCCGAAAAAATACCTTCTACAATGGAATGTCAACCCCAATTCTATTTATTTCGAAATCTACGAGCCAAAGCAAAGTTCCTGGGAATCTCGTCTGCTTAGACATCTACCCACCATCTTCTTCCCCGCATTGACAAGCAATGACCCTCCTCCATAATTTGTCCTCTCAGCCCCAAATGTCACGATCCGCCCCAATCGATGTAAGTACTATCTGCTTGGCACACTTTCTGTGCTACGCGTCTACATAGTTAAGGGGTGTCCACACATGTGACCCCCCACAGGCGATGTGGGATGTCACAATCACCCCCTTTTGGACCCAACGTTCATGCGGCTTCTGCACGCTCCCCACATTTTCGGCTGGGGATTGGCTCTGATACCGTTTGTCACGACGTGCCTTAACATGTGTAGATACAATTCGCTTTACACACTCTGCGTGCTTACGGTTTTCAAAATGCATTTACATGGTTAAGGGGTGTCCACACATATAAATGCTAGGAACTTCTCCCCCTGGGCGATGTGGGATGTCACACCAAATCTCCAAAGCCATTTGCCCAACAAAGCCTTGTTGAACAACTCCAACCTTTGAATCCCCAAGCCCCTCTTTTGAATAGGGGAACGCACACTGTTCCAATTAACCAATTGGTATTTGGACTCACTACTCATACCCCTCACAAAAACTTCCTCCAAATCACTTCTAATCTTTGAACAATGGACATCGGCATCAGAAATAAGGACATGAAGTAAGTTGGAAGATTCGAAAGGATGCTCTTCGTAAAAGTAAGCCTCCCCCCTTTTGATAGGTATTGCTTCTTCCAAACTGCCAACCTCTTCTCCAAGCGTTTGACCACGGGTCCCAAACTGACGTCCTTCTCAACGACGCTCCTAGAGGTAACCAAAGTAGGAGATCGGAAAAGATCAACACCACACCCAAGAATGTCTGCTAAGTCATGGATCTCGTCAACCTCCCCAACAAGAACCAGCTCACTCTTCCCAATGTAGATCTTCATCTCGAAACAACTAGAAGTAAGCCAGGATACATCTCAAAAACCTCAGCTGGTCCACCCTTGCATCACAAAAAAACAATAGTGTTATCCACAAAGAGCAAGTGAGAAGTAACCAACTCATTGGGACTGTTTCTAGGGCTGCAAATGAGCTGAGCCGAGCTTTAGGTTGCTTAGGCTCGGCTCACCAAGACCAGAGGGATGCTCGGGCTCGACTCAAGCTCGGGCGAGCTTGGCCTAGCTAGGCTTGAGCTCAGCTCAGCTTAAGCTTGTGTGTGTCCGAGTGTCCATATAAAGACATATATACATAAAATGAATCAAATCTAAATGTTAGTACGTCAAGCTTGTTTGTGTCTATATATATATACACACACACACATATATACATAGACATATCAAATAAACCAAATCTAAGATATCATTTTTGGAGACAACTCTTGCACCATCTCCTTCAAATCGGCTACCATGTTCATCCACTAATCATTGATCTTATCTCACCACTTCAAATGCAACAAGGCTTCTTCTGACAGCTTGATTTCTCCGGAGTAATGCTGTCTGGTGTCTTTGATTTCGCTGGAGTAAGCATAAATATATATATATATATATATATATAGGAGTTGCTTTATTTTGCCGGCGAAGTCTAAGGAAGGGGACGCAAAAGCTTGGTCTGCGGCTGCTGGTTTAGGGTTTCTTATCTTTTTTGTTTGGGGTTTTCTTATCCCTTCAACATGTAAACTAATCCAATGGCTGAGATGAAACATGACTTGGGCCATTGGGCTACTTAGCTAAATGGACTTCATTTGTGAGATGGGCTTCTAGATACTAAGAACTAATTGGGGTAACTACATATCTATATAAATTTGGGATAAACTTGTATATATGGGTAGGCTTGTAAATATAATAAATTGAATATAATATATTTTTATTTAAACGAGCTTGTTCATGAGCTTAACGAGCCGAGCTTGGCATTGTTCAACCTTGGTTCGTTTATTAAACGAGCCTTAAAATTATGTTCAAGCTCAGCTCATTTACTTAATGAATGATCCCAAGCCCAGCCTTTAACGAGCTGAGCCCGAGCTGTTCATGAACAGCCCGGTTCATTTGCAGCCCTAACTGTTTCCCAATGAGAAGCCTCTGATACAACCCAAATCTTCCGCCGCCTCATCAGCCTACTAAAAGCCTCCATGACATTGATGAACAAAAAAGAGATAGAGGATCCCCCTGGCGTGGCCCACAAGAGCTAGCGAAAAACCCTGCTGGGGAGCCATTCACCAAGACAGAGCCGCGCAGTCGAAATGCAATGATAAATCCATGATCTTCATCTGTAACAAAATCCCATCCTCTCCAGCATATACATCAAAAAGTCTGCACAAACAATCCCCGGAACTCCCCTTCTGACCCTGGCCTCCACACACTCACCGGCAACCAAAACAGAATCCAGAATCTGGCGACCGCCAGCAAAAGCGTTCTGGGTCTCCGAGATCACCTCATCCAAGACTCTCCTCTATCAGATGGCTAAGACTTTAGCAAAGATTCAACAGCTCCACCCTTCTTCGGAATAAGGGTTATAGAAGATGCTTTAAGACTTTTCTCAAACTGGCCTCCTGAATGGAAAGAGTTGATGGCTCCCATCACCTCAACCTTCATCACATCCCAATTCTGTTGGAAAAAAGCCAAAGTGAACTCATCCGGACTAGGAGCTTTGTCACCATTGCAGCTCCTAATCGCTTCCAGCACCTCCTCCTCCTCCTCAAACAGTTTCTCACGCCAATCCATATTCTCACCCGAGATACCCGCAAAGTCAAGCCCATCCAACAAGGGTCTCCAGGTCACAGTCTCTGAAAATAACTGCTGATAGAAGGACACAAAACCGTTCCGAGCATCCTCTTCCCTGGTCACCATATTCCCATCAATATGAAGCATGCCAATATGATTTCCTCTTCTGTGAGCGTTAGCTAAAAATCACTTACTCTTTTTGAGAAAGAAAAAAAACAGAAGGAAATATTCGAAAATAGATGGACCATGAGATTTGTAGCAGATGTCAGATATAAAATAAAACAATAATTTAATGTTAGATTTGGGTGAAAAACAAGAATGAAAACAAAATAGATTATTTGCAAGACCGGAAGCTTTTTATTGAAGATTTGCGGTCAAGTCTTATGTTTTTTGTTTCTGATTTTGTAAATTTAAGTTGTTTGATGTGTTTGAACTTTGGAGTTTGTTTAGTGGTTTGAGAAACTTGTTTGGAATAGAGAAATGTGAAAAATTAGGGAAAAATCAGCTTTATATAGCTGCTGGAAAACACTACTGTCCATCGCAGCCGTTGCAGGTGAGTCGGTCCGAGACAGCTGTGAAATTCTGTTTCACTTGAGGTTTTGGATAAACCAGGTCTTGACCCTGGCCAAGTTGAAGTCGGCCTAATTTCAAAACCTTGATTGTAAAGGAGGTTGTAATAAATATTTTGAGCATCTTAATTATTCAATATTGGATATCTTGAGTTAATGCTCCCAATTTATTCTGCATAGAAAGAAAACATTGACTACCAAAAGTTTAGCACAAATAAAAAAATAATAACTGTGCAATTTGATTTTATTATTCAAAGTCACAATACTTGAAATCTAAAACATTAGCAAAGTCTAGCACACAGGAAAATACAAACTATAGATTGTTATTTTTTCCCCCAAATGGTTTTTCGCTCACTGAAAATTCTTGGAATCAGCTAACCACATGGTTTATTGGTTACTGGAAATTCTTGGAAACAGCTATTGTCAATGGGCATTACTTTATCTTACGGACGTGTAACAGAAGGCCGAAGAGGAAACCTCATCATTCTTGTATAAATTTTGCTGCTTTTTCATTTTCCTTTTTTAAGTAACTGGTATCTGAAGCTAAGTGTATTAAAATATGCTCTTTGATTATAAATTTGAAATGTTGCTTTCTTTTATTAGTAAAAAGATATCCTTGTAGATACTTGCCACTAAATACATGCTACAATTTCAGAAGAAAGGAAGCAAAAAGACCAGGAGTGCGAGCAATTGAGAGCACTTGTTCAAGATCTTCGAAGTATGTCCTCACCAGCAAAAGTATTTTTCGCTTATTTTGTCCCCATAGCAGTTCTTTTCCTCTCTATATAAATCTGATAGTTCTTACAGTCCAGAACAAATTCAAAAAAGGTATATATGGGAAACCCTTCATTGGTATACACAAACACACAAATATATATATTATATAGTTGGACAAAGCTCTCTTGTGCTGTAATGGCATATACTTGTAAATCTTCCAGGCATTGTTGGGTTAATGGGTGAAATATATATATATATATATATATATATATATATATATATATATTGCTAGTTGTTAATGGGCGAAATTGTATTATCTATGGATAGTCTTTTGGACTTTGTAGATAGCTTGAAATTGTAGTGTCGCCATGGGTGCCTTTTGTTCTTTGGGAGTGCTCCCCTCTTGAGCGCCTTTAATGAATTTTTTATCAAAAAAAAAAAATAAAAAGAAAAAAGAAATTTCTAAACAAGTAAATCCTTCACTGATCGTGTAGGATTAAGATCCATCTGTTTTCATAAACTTGTGATTCTTCAGAAACATCTACAGCATTTTCATTGTATTATTATTATTATTATTGTTTTGGTGAAAGGCCCTGCTCCTTTGTTCTTTGGCTAGGGGAAAAATGATTAAACTTGTTAAGTTAGCTCCGTCCTCAGTTGTTTATAGTTTTTGTTCTTTTTGCTTACAGTGTTGTGAAGCTGAATATGATTTGCTGGTCACTTCTGGCCCTATCTGATTTGGTTTAATCCTCTGTATGTTCAGCCAAAAAACAACTGGTTAAATATCCTCAAGCAATTTATAACTAAGCAATTCAATGGCTTCTGTCGAAGCATCTTGTTGTCATGAATAGAGAGACAAACTGATAACTCATTCTGGAGTGAATGATGAGGAACACAAAATTTGAGGAATGATATAAAATTATGCTTAGAGGTAAGAGAAGGAGAGAAGGGAAAGGAAGATCTACAGAAATTTCTCTTATTCTTGTTTTGTTGGATGGGGGGGATCCCATTAGAGAAGAGAAGTAGCTAGAAAATGTTAAGCATAATTTTTTCTTGTCTTGAAACTTGTCTCCCAAAAGATAGGCGAAATGAAAGAAAAGTGGTTGCAGAAAATGCTTCCATTGTTGATTATGTGGTTTGCAGAAAATGCTTCCATGGTTGATTATCTCATGATTTTCCATGAGACCATGGTCAAGTGGTGACACTTGTATCAGCAAAATTGGCCTGTAACCAGAGACCCAAATAATTATAGTGTTGGAAATTGTGTCTCAATTCCTATTCTAATTATGTTTCTATTTTAGAGTTGTATTTTGTTGCGTAATTTTTTTATTTAGCAAGTCTTGGCCTTTAAGAAATTATAATCCTTGTCCAACAAGGAATTGGTTTTGGAATTCTATAAATAGGCACCTAGGTTATGGGTTGAGAATTATGAAATTGAGAGAGATGTAGTCTCATGAGGGAGTTGATGGGTAGAGGTAGTTTATGGGTTGGTAGAGTAGGGATCCCACTGAGGTTCACTGGTAGCGAGAAGATAAGCTTGTGGAGTGGTACATGGGGAAATGACATGTATGCGGTGTTGGTACTCTATTGTTGTAATATCTCTTTGAATCATAGTGTAATCTCTTCTCATCCATGCAGGGGTGGAGCCAGAAATTTAAGATTGGGGGGGCTGGATTTGAACTATGTAACAAAAATTAAAAAAAATTTATAAATCAATGGAAATATATATATTTTTAAAGTCATAGTATATATATGTTGAGAAAATTCAAAAATGAGAAAAATGCAACTTAGAAAAAAAAAAAAATGATTTTAGAAAGAACATTATGGAGAAGAAACGTAAAAAAATAAGCATTGTTAGAAAATCAATTTTCCTTTATCAGTTGTTTCAGTTTTTCAAAAATCTAATTTTTGGAAGAAGAAAATTAAGTACTTTGATTCCACTAGGGAAATATATACCTAGATGAAAGATTAGAAAAACATAATGAATTTTAAGTCAAAAAAAATATTTTAAATTCAACAAGATTATTATTGAGTTATTAAACAAGATACAAATGGTTATAAAATTTGTTATTTAGAAAGTTATAACTAAAAGTATTAGCATATATGATATTATTATTGTTATTGAGAGTCTTACAATACTTTAGTTTATCTTCTTTCCAAATATTCCTAGGACTTGCCATTAAAGATTGTTATATAATTTTAGATATTTTTCTTATAAAAATACCATTTTACAAAAATGATTGACAAAAAATGGTATTCCTTTTAAAAAATGGTAGTAGCATGCATTTTTACCAAACATGAGGGAACATTAGTTATTTTATTCCTTTTTCTCTCTCTTGAATTAATATTATAGATATTGTACGTGTATATATAAATAAAATAACAATGTGTTGCGATAACGAGTATAATAATTATTTACCAAAAATATTTATCAAAAAAAAATAATTATTTACCAAAAAAAATGTCTATAATAATAATGAGCTTAAATTTTTGTTTCATAATATTTGAATTTTTAGAAGTATAGTTGAAAGAGTGCAAGTTGAAAAAATTTTAAATTTCAAGGAGACAAACTAATTTTATTTTGGGTCAATACATGTGTTTTGAAAAAAATTGGGGGGCCAATGCAAAATTTTAATAAATTTTAGGGACAAAATCTACAAATTAATTAATATTGTGTTTGTGTGTGATTGCTTTGTTGGCTTTCATTGGATCTTTGTGTTCGCGTGCTTTCGCTGCCCCAACATATAATAATAATAATAAAAGAAAAGAACGAGACAACTAAGAAGCGCACTGTTGGTACTAGTCACAATTTCTTCTTATTACACTTGTCACGACTCGATATTTTGATTTGATAGAAGGAAACACGAGTCAACTGGCCTTTTTACTACTGCTACTAATAAAGATTCTTCTGTACCTCATTCTTTCCATTGACAAAGGAAGAAAGTCTATTTATTTGTCTTCAATTCTACTCCTTCCTAATTGTATTTTTTTCTTATTTTTTCAGCATTTTTCCTACTTGTACACTATCTAGTAAAATTTGTTGTCATAATGCAGCATCCTTTTTTGATGGTTTCATGGATGTTTTTATAGCTTTAATGCAGAATACAATATATCTATGCACATACTGATCACATTGTTATTCTGGGTGGTGGTAAATTACTAAATTGAGCTGCTGGTTAGTGGAGACTTTGGTTGTTTTCTTCGTATGGATGTCTGTATCACCAATAGTTTTCTTGTTTATGTGCTGTTAACTAAATTGTTTTATTTTAATAAACTTCATCTTATGCATCTTTTTTCCATTGATTTATCACTATTTCAGATCTGATTTTTGACACATTTCAAGGCTTTTGGCACAAAATCTTAGCTTGTTACCTTTTTCAGCCAGCACATTATTTTTCCATTTGAAAATGCTCATGTGTATATATTTGCTTACGATAATTCTTGTACTTTGTAATTTTTATAATCAAATCATCCTCTTGTTCTAGATTAAGAATAAGTAGTACTGGATTATATGCACATAATCAGTGACAGAGAGGGAGAAAAGAAGAGGGGGGTGGGGGGGGGGGGGGGGGGGGGGGGGATGGGGGGATTTCTTGAAGAATAATTAGATAATTAGATAAAAAAAATTGAAGATAATTTTTAACAAAATAATACATAAATGAACTTTATTTTAATTGATTATATTTTTGTTCATTACATTGACAAATTTTTTTCCCCTTAAATTATTACATTGACAATTCCTCAGTGAATTTTTATATTAAGCAATATGTTTATACAAATCGAAGAGAACTATGTATATTGAAGTCGCACAATTATACAAAATAAAAAAAATTCAAATGTGTGCTTGTATTCTTGTTTATCCCTCATTCCCTTTTACAATGATTCAGTGAATGCTATTAAGAATTTTCTAATAAATCAACTTAATTAGAAATCAACAAACTTAGGAAGTCCTTGCTTGCAATTAAAAAAGAAGAAGTAATGATTGAAACTTGTTTTTGTATTAGGATTGAAGTATTTTCAGTTAGGTTCTCCAAATCAAAAACTAATTGATAATTAGATTAAACCAAATAATTAAGAGAATTGCACGCTTTACAATATGGGTCTTCACATTTTTATAACGGGTATATATTTATGATTTTCATGTATCACAATGCAATAAAAGAGATATAGAGAAGAATATTTTATTTAAGATTTTTTTTTTTTTTTGGTACCTTCTTAGAGGTTGGGATTTTTCATTAAAGAAGAAAAAGCTGAAAGAGAGCCTGAAACACAACTAGGAAAAGAGAGGATTAAAGCTATGGATATGTAATGTCAAATGATCAGTGGGACATTTTTAGAATTTTGTATATACAAAATGAGAATATAAAAAATTTGAGGGGGGAGCCCCCCTCCTCTCTCTTTGTAAATATATTCATATTAGACTTATTTGCTTGTATGCATGTGTGAGAGTCAGTTCTAGGTTGTTTGCAAGCACGTTGTCAAATAATATCAAAGGTTAGGTCTATACCATGCCTATCTCTCCCACACCTTGAGTTGGCAGGAGCAACACTGGGTACTGGCTTGTTGATTGTGTGGGTACATGGTTTGATGTTTGTTATATTTTCTTTTGCAGGGAAAGACCTTGAAAAAATGATTGACAAAGTACAGGTTTGGACGAAATGAAGGGTTTAGCATTTTGTTTCCTTCCTTTCCTTCTATTTGATTTTAGTTTTTCTCCGCTTAGAAATCATCACTTGAATTCCATGTCCTTTCTGATAAATTGATCAGGTGCCAGTGGCAGCCATAGTGGTTATGGCTTGCAATCGTGCTGATTATCTGGAAAGGACTATCAGATCAATCTTAAAGTATGTCTTTGGTTTACGAGCATTTTTCTCCTGCTTTTTATTCAGTTATGGATATTTCGGAAGTTGAACACCGTTTGGACATTTCTTACATTCTCTAGATACCAAAGTGCTGTGGCTTCAAGGTATCCTCTTTTCGTATCCCAGGTGCTTACCATGACAAACTTAAGTTGTCTCATTGGTATGATTCTTACATTTTAGAGGAGGTTGAGGGACAAAACAGCTAAAAGTTGTTAATTTTTTCTTAGGATGGGTCAAATCAGGATGTCAGAAATAAGGCTTTGAGCTACGAGCAGCTCACTTATATGCAGGTATGTAAATTTTTATTCTATGTGCATGCCCAGGAGCATGGTTTGGAGGATCTGTATCCACACAATGTTGATTGTAACTATGGCATGCTGTCTCTGATTTGTCTTTCATTAAAAAAAATATGTATGCTTTCCTTCAATCCACCCAGAAGTCTTTATCGGTTGATCGTTCTGTTGCTGCTGCTGAGAGGCAGTCCTTCGACGCTTTGGATCAGATTGTCCTTGATTTCCGTTTCAAGTCCTAGTATCTCGGATTCTCCCACCGCCGTCCAATTCATTCTCAACAATCAAAGATCACTCCACTACTTCTGAATAGTTCTGTAGTTCTAGCGCAGCTATTTTACCTAATGGATGGCATGATTCCTTGATCAAAATGCTCGTTTTTTGAAACCTCATCAGGAATCACATGCTGGGCAAATCAGGATAGTTATTTGAATTTGGCCTCATAGCCACGATTTTGTTCCTCTGCACCAAGTCAATGAACTCGTTTGCTTTTGTATCACATACCACTTCTGGGAAATATTTCTCAATAAATATTGCCTCAAAAGCAGCCCAAAGTCATATATTCCTTCATGTTGGTCCTCTTAACACTATCCCACCACCTATGAGCGTGTTCCTTAAATTGATAACTAGCCCCTGCCACTCTCAACTCATTAGGTACAACTATAGCATCCACTTTCTTCTTAGGGCCCGTCTGGCATTGTGTTTGAATGAAAAAAGCGCTTGTATTAGTAGAGCTGTCATAAAATTGCTGTTAGTAAAGTACTTTTCACAAAGATAGTTGAATCCCAAGGGGTTGGCTCAAGTGGTGAGTCACCTGGTTCTGGTGCCTCATGAAGACTAGGTCTAGGATCCGACACCTCAAAGGGTTCTGGGAAGGAATTTTTAATCTGTGGGGAAGATAGTTGATCTTGCCTAATCCAACTGTGATCAAGCTTGGCTCGACTGCATTTCAAAGGGGTTTGAGCTCAGCTTGGCGATCTCGATAAGCTTCAACTTGATGAGACAAGATCGAGCTTCAATGATTCAACCGATAGATCTTTACGAATTCACCCCAAAATAATCCTAATTCAACATTGATTCAAATCTCATAAACAAAGAGAGACAGAACGAGAGAGATCAGAAAGAAATGAGAGAGAGTAGTTGCAGGTACGATTAAGAGATTTGTAGTCGCCGGTGTGATTTGGTGGAATGATTTGCCAGCTTGATAGGGCTTGCAGGTCGCAACAATCTTCTTTTGTGATATCTTCTCTTCTTATCTTCTCTTCTCTTGCGGCTAGGGTTACTCAGAATGAGGGGGAAGATTAGGGTTTTGTGGTTTATATAGTATATGAGAGTTGAGCTTGGGAAGGATAGTAGGCTTGGCCTGTTTTAATTTTAAGAGAAATGTATTGGGTCTCTTTTAATTTGAAGAGGAATGGGTTGTGCTAGGTTGTTTTAGGCTCTATCTTTGACTAATTTAAGGCCCAAATTTATTTATCTATTAGTATATATAATTAATATAGATATATATTTATATATTTTCGAGCTCAAATCGAGTAGATTATCAAGCTTGTTCACGAACACGTTCATGAACTAATGAGCTGAGCTAGGGGATGTTTGAGATTGGCTCGTTTAATAATCGAGCTTGGAAATTGTATTTTAGCTTGGTTGGTTTAAATAAACGACAGAAAAATAACAAGATTATGCAAGCGAGCATAAAATATAACATATTATATTCACAATTCAGGTCATTTCACCGATTATCGCAACCACATTTATTTTATTATTTTCTATTGAAGATTTAATGGAGGAATCAATGGAGGAAAATCTTTCAGTAATTGATGTTGTTTCCTATTATTGAAGATTTGGTGTTACTAGAGGAATCGGTGGAGAAAAATCCTCCTTGTTTCCTATTTTCTAATTCTTTCCATTCTCATAATTTCTTTTCCAAAATAAAGGAGCCTCCACCATTTTATTATGTATGTATTGAGAGAGTATTATAAAAGTGATGTAGCCCTTCTGGCTCCTTGTGCCATGGATGTAAGCCCTAGTGGTTGAACCATGTAATATATGTGTTCTTGTTTCATTTTTCTCTTCACTTCTATTTCATTATTTATAACATGGCATCAAAGCCTAATTTCTCTTCCTAGGTTTGAACCCCTATGTTGGGGTATTCCCTTAGCATCTGAAATGTTGCTAAGGGTTTCTCGGTACTATTTGTGACTCGTTTGGGCTGCCGGTTTGTTTGGCAGTAATGTTCTTCGCCTTTGCCGTGTCTCCGGCAGTTTTTATGGACTTGTTTGGGTTGCCAGTGTGTTTGGTAGCATTGTCTTCATCTTTGCCTTCGTCTTCGGCAGTTTTTATCGAATTGTTTGGGCTGCCGGTGTGCTCGCTAGCATTGTCCTCGCCTTTGCCATATCTCCGGTAGTTTTTGGTTAACTTGTTTGGGCTGTCAGTGTGTTCGGTATCATTATTCTTTGTCTTCTCTCTTCTCTCTTCATGATTCACACTTGTTGTTACTCGTCATCTTAATGGCAAGTTGGGCATTCATGCTCCAACTTGAGGGGGAGTATTGAAGATTTAATGGAAGAAAGTTTTTCAGTAATTGATGTTGTTTCCTATTATTGAAGATTTGGTGTTACTAGAGGAATCAGTGGAGAAAAATCCTCCTTGTTTCCTATTTTCTAATTCTTTCCATTCTCATCATTTCTTCTCCTGTATAAAGGAGCCTCCACCATTATATTATGTATGTATTGAGAGAGTAATAGTGACTTGTATCTCGTCTGTTATGTTTTCTGTGCTCGTGAATGGTTCACCTACGGGTTTTTTTGTTAGCTCACGTGGTCTGTGACAAGGAGATCCATTATCGTCTTTTCTTTTCCTTATTGTCATGGAAGGTCTGAGCAGGTTAATGAGAAAAGCGGAAGATTTGGGTTACATCAGGGGGTTCAGAGTTGGCAGAGATGTTGAACATCAGATGCAGATTTCCCATTTGTTGTTTGCGGATGATACGTTAGTATTTTGTGATGTTGAAGTTTCTCAACTCAGATATCTTAGGTGCATTCTTGCTTGCTTCTAAGCGGTTTCTGGGTTAAAGATTAATGTCGGAAAGAGTGTGCTTGTCCCAGTGGGGGATGTCCCAGATATTTCCTTCTTAGCTGCTGTCCTAGGGTGTGGAGTTAGTACTTTTCCTCTTCCTTACTTAGGATTGCCTTTGGGAGTTTCTTCTACACGAGTTAGGAATTGGGATCCAGTGATTAATAGATATGAGAAAAGATTAGCAGGATGGAAAAAACAGTATCTATCTGGGGGGGTTGGGGGGAACTACCTATTTTTTATCTTTGTTTCAAATTCCATGCTCTGTTGCTGAAAGGATTGAAAAAATTCAGAGGGATTTTCTTTGGGGTGGAAGGGGAGAGGAGTTTAAGTATCATCTTGTTAATTGAGATCAAGTTTGCCAACCGTTGAGGTTAGGCGGGTTAGGCATTCGAAAAATCGTTCCTTTTAATCATGCTCTCTTGGGAAAGTGGTTATGGAGATTTGGAAGGGAACGTCATCGTCAGTGGAGAAGAGTTGTCTCGTGTCGTTTTGGTGAGGAGAGTGGGGGCTGGTCATCTCTTCCAGTCACTATTACGAGAGGCGTTGGTGTGTGGAAATTCATTCGGAAGGACTGGGATGTTTTCTCCACACATATTAGATTCAAAGTTCGTGATGGCAGACATGTTCGTTTTTGGGAGGACCTTTGGTGCGGCAATCAGTTGCTGTCTCACTCCTTTCCTAGACTTTACAGTATTGCAGCCAATAAGTATGTTTACGTGATTGATTGTTATCAACTTGATAGCAATGGAGTTACGTGGGATGTGCGGTTTAGGCTGCCCTTTCAGGATTGGGAAATGGAGGAAGCTTGTGTTTTTTTGGATACGTTGTATAGGCAGAAGGATATTGGCAGAGGCTGTGATGATATTTTGTGGGTTCCTTTAGCTCATGGTCGATATGGCGTCCGATCTATGTTCTTCTGTTTGTCCAATTTCGTTGGTCCTGAGTTCCCTTGGAAGTCTGTTTGGCGTTCTCAAGCTCCTCTTCGAATCGCATTCTTTGTTTGGACTGCCACATTGGGGAAGATTTTGACATTGGACAATTTGAGAAAGAGAGGCAACATCATTGTTAATTGGTGTTGTTTATGTAAAGCTGATAGTGAATCCGTGGATCACATTCTTTTGCATTGTCCTGTGGCGTATGATTGTTGGAGTTTTATTTTTTACATGTTTGGTGTTTTTTGGGTAATGCCTAAACACTCCTCACAATTGATTAACGCTTGGAAAAGGTGTCCTGTTAAAGAACAAACTCGTGATTATTGGAAGATTGTTCCACATTGTGCCTGGTGGTGTTTGTGGCGTGAGAGGAATAATAGATCCTTTGAAGGAAAAGAATCGTCTTTAGCTAATTTAAAAATTCATATTCTTCGTTCTTTGTTCTGTTATGTAAGAGGAAATGCATGCTCCTCAATTGATGATTTATTTGATCTCTTGGATTCTATTGGTCCTTAGACCTTTTTTCTTCTTGTATTAGGGACGCGTTCCCCTTTTGAACGTTTTTCTAATATATTTTTACTTATCAAAAAAAGAAAAAAGAGAAAAAGTGATGTAGCCCTTTGGGCTATTTGTGTCATGGATGTAGGCCCTAGTGACTGAACCACGTAATAAATGTGTTCTTGTTTCATTTCTCTCTACACTTCTATTTCATTATTTACAACATTCTCCAACCATCATGCGCTTTCTTAGGATTGAACCGATGGGCACAGCACCGCAGCCAACTGTTAGGACCCACCCCATGCTGAGTATATATTGTCTGCTTTGCACCCTCTTGGCGCTCACGGTTTTCAAAATGTGTCTACACAAATAGGAGACTTATATGTGCCCTCCCTCCCTCATTGTCCTGAACTTCATGGGTTTTGTGCACGCTTCTCCCATATTCTGACTAGGGATTGACTTTGATACTGTCAATTAGGACCGTGCAAATATTGTCCACCTTGCACCCTCTTGGTGCTCACAGTTTTCAAAACATGTCCACCTGGGTAGGAGTTATCTTCCCTTATAAGTGTCAGTAACATCTTCCCCAGGCAATGTGGGATGCCAAATGTTATTTTGCCTCTGTCTTTGAGCTTGAGGCTTAAACCTGAAATCTTTTAGCTATTTGTATTTTTGTATTAATCCAAAAAAGTATGTTCTAATATTTCTTTGAAGAATAGTTGTAGTACACTGGCTAATTAGGGCTACCTTGAGGCCTAACTTCAGTTTCTTGCAGCACTTGGATTATGAACCAGTCCATACTGAAAGGCCTGGGGAGTTGATTGCATACTACAAGATTGCGCGTAAGGATTGCTCTTGATGTTTTTCTTCTTTTCTTTTTCCTTTTCTGATATTTCTTCTCAAAGCTTTTAAACACTGGTGTTTTCTAGGTCACTATAAATGGGCATTGGACCAATTGTTTTACAAACATAATTTTAGCCGAGTTATCATACTTGAAGGTGATGGTCTTGCTTTAAATTATCTTTTCACATTATTCCTTTGTATTTTTGCTGGGAAATGTGAAACACTATGCTGAGAAATCTTCAACAAGTGCAGATGATATGGAAATCGCCCGCGATTTTTTTGACTATTTTGAGGCTGCAGCCGTACTACTTGATAGTGATAAGTGAGTCCCATATGTGAAGTCCAACTCTTTTAGCTACATTTGATTCAGAAACACTGAATATTTATTTTATATGCTTTTTTGAAATGAAACCTCAATAGGTCCATTATGGCTGTTTCCTCATGGAATGACAATGGACAAAAGCAGTTTGTGCAGGATCCTTGTAAGTTCCTTTGTAATCTTATCAGTATTAATTGTATTTATATACAAAGTAAGCTAACTGATAAACCTGCACAATGGATACAATTAGCTGTAGTTATTTGCAATAATTCTGAAGTTATTGTTGCTTATAATGTTTTCTGGAGATTTCATTTCCCTTTTCTATATATTTGGATGTGACGTAATGGAAAATGATTGGAGAAGTATTATTTGGTTTAGTCCTAGAAACTTTAATGATTGGTTGTTGCAGTCGTTGGAATCTCAAAATTCATGTCATTCTCAAGGCATAGAGTTTTCATCTAATCGTTTGGTTCAGATGTAAGAGTTGTAGTTGGCTCCAAGAATCCGATTCTGTTATTCTCTCTATGTAGGATTTCTTGTTTTTCTTTCGATCTCAACCCACAGCCTTTTGGCCTTTCCATAATGCTTGTACTCCTTTAACATGAACCATATCGATCCTTAGTTTTGTAATCAGGGGAATTATATTTTGCATGGTCAAACCATCTCATTCTGGTGCTCATGTCTCTTCCCTAACTGGTGCAACATGTAACCTCTCATAGATGCATTTTCTTCATGTATTCAGTTAATTAATTGATTAGATGTCTCAATTGCAATCATATAAACATATAAAATAATAAATAAAATTAAGTAGACGTAATATATTTCATCAGGGAAAAACCATGGGAACTAACCCAGGCAGATCAAAATCCACTATATGAGAAAGAGATTACAGACTAAGTTACCAGACTCTACCCAAGAAACACCTAGTGCCTCCTCAATCAGACTTGCTTAAGATCTCCCAAATGCTCTAGTCACTGATCCATCAACCGTCTCACTCCTCACACAATCTGCTTCTTCGTGGACTTCTGATCTCCAACGACTAGTGATGTCTGATCAACTTGCTCTTTGTGAACCACTCAGTTGATGCCATGAATGATAATTTCAATTCTGCTCCTTAGTTTGCTTCTCTCAATCACAGATAGTATGGCAATCTACACCCTAGATTGATTCTCAAAGTTTTCTCTCTAAAAATATAATTTCGCTAACTAATATATAAAGAATTGAAAGCTCTTATTGGAGATATTTTAGACTGATTATAACATCATATTTATAGCCACCATACTCATGTAGTATGGTAAGTAAAATCCTCGTTCCTCGCGCAATTTGCTTCTTCGTAGACTTCTGATATCCAATAACTAGTGATGTCTGTTCAACTTGTTCTTTGCAGACCACTCAGTTGATGCTCTGATGGATAATTTCAATTCTACTCCTTAGTTTGCTTCTCTCAATCACACATAGTATGGCAATCTATGAAGAACTCTAGATTGATTCTCAAAGTTCTCTCTAAAAATATAATTTCTCTCAATAATATTTAAAGAATTGAAAGCTTTTATGAGAGACATTCTGGACTGATTATAACTGTTAGAACATTTATATGTAGATATGTATATTTATGTTGGGGTCAGTTTGTAATAGTATGTAGAGTTTGTGGCCATTATGCAAATAGGCCTTTCTTGTCTTTGTATATAAACCCTTTTATGTTTAGGGTTGATGATATGAAACTGAGGCTGTGCCTCCACCATTTTGCTCTGCTCCATCTGCTCTCTCCTCTCTCTCTTTCATCACACATTAAACCTTTCACATGGTATCAGAGCAACGATCCGACCATTGTCGTTGCCACCAAAGCGTGGAGAGTTGCAGAAGTACAGAGGTCCCATCCACAAAGGTTCTCTGTTCGCTGTTGCAGAGGACTCAAATTTTTTTTTTTAGTTCTTTCTGTGTGTTGGCTTCAACTGTCAGACAACCCCTTTGTCTTGTACCTCGTATTTGTCGCTGTTGAGTCGCTGTCTGTGTTGCCGTCACAGCCTCTTTGTGTTCAGTTGGTCGGTATTGTTGCTGACGCAATTCGGCAGTCACTACTTGTGTTGGGTTTCCGACGCCGCCGCAAGGGCTAGGGTGTGTACTAGCCTCGAGTGTTGTTATCATTGCTGTGCCATTGTCACGAATCAGTGTGCAGATCCTAAGTGCTGTGTAGCCCATCGACGACCACCCCTGTGTAGTCGCCGTTTGTGACTGAGTTTGTGGTTGGCGGCTTCTTTGAAACTGAGTGTGGTTTTTTGCTGTAGCCGAGAGATTTGCAGTTGCTTCTCGTCCCTTGGCTGTTAATTGATTTGTGGTTGGGGCTTCGCCTTGTGGAGGTCTCGATTCTCCATTTTTGGACCTCGGATCCTTGTTTGTTTGTTGTCGGCAGCAGATTGTGGTCCTCGCCGGCGCTGATAGTGAAGAAGAAGGGTGGGGTTTGGTTGCAGGCTTGAAGTTATCCCAAACCAGGTTATGCTATCCCGATTCGGTTTCACTAAAACCGGTTTTGCAGAGATCCGGTTCAAGCTCAACCTGATTCAGTTGACCCGACTCATTTACAGATCCGACCCATTTTGGATCCGGTAGACCAGTATTTTTTTTTTTTTCAGTTTCTGTTTTTTTTTTTTTTTTCCTCCTCTGTTCCTGGTCTTCTATTTTTTTTATTTTTATGTTTTTCTTTTCTTTTCTGTGACAACCCGGGTTTTAGGATTTAATTTATTTCATTATATTTTTAGTTGTCATAATTAATTATTTGATTATGATTGGATTTACCCAATTAAGACATTTAATGGGTTGGTTTGGTTTCTTTGTTTTGCAATTGTATATATTATATATATATATATATATATTTTTTTTGTTTGCATCTGACGGTGTAAATGGGAGCTAGCAGCCAAAATTAAAAGAATGGAAATGGTGATGATTTTTGGTGCGGGTCCCACTGATGAGTTAGTTGATGGGTTGGTTTTATGATTATATATATATATATATATATATATATATATATATATTTTTGCTTGTCTGAAGGAGATGCACCAACTGCCGCATGAGAGGAAAGAAAGAAGAAAACTGTGATAGTGCCGTGGGACCCACTGGAGCTTTGTTTGGCTAAAAATCCATTTGGTCTGGCTGATCACATGGCTTTGTCTAAAGCTTTGGAGAGATATTTGTGTGGTTTGACTTTGTCCACAATATATATGCAATTGTATATATGTTATATAATGCATTTGATGGAGATAAGAGTGGGCAAGTGGACGAAATTAATGGGATAAGAAAAGGTAAAAAGGAAGATTGAAACTGTAATGATTATCTTTGATATTTGTTGGTGAGTTGTGTGAATGGTGTCGGTGGAAAAGTCTTTAACTGCTGAGTGTGTGTGTGCTTTGAGTTTGTGTGAGCAACAGAGATAGAAAAGTTGAGATGAGAGACAGTGAGCCGAGAGCTCACAGAGGGAGAGAGGCAGAGAGGGCCGAGATTGAGGAGGGACAGAGAGAGAGCTGAGAGTTGCAGAGGAGGCCGGGAGCTTGAGGCTTTGATGATCCAGTGAGGAAAATTCTTTTTCAAGGTAGGGGTGTTCTAATTCACTCAATCTTTGGTTCTTGTGATTCATTTTCCTATAATTAATGTACAACATGCTTAAATGTGATTATTCTTTGGAGAAATTTCTTTAGTGTTGTATATTAAATTTGTATATCCATGTGGGTTTCTATGTGAAAGTGATTTGTGAGTAGATAGTTGTTAAAATGAATAGAGAATCATGCTTAAATGGTTGTGTTTTAAATTCTTATATTTAATGGCTAAAATTTGATTATTTATATGCATGTTGTTCTTCCATGAGAATTATCTTGATAAGCTTGTAATATTTATTAAAGTTGATTTGCATGATTTTACGGCATTGAGACGCATGAAGCATTCATGCATTCATGCATTCATTGGGAAAGAAAAAGGGGAAAGTATTTTAAAACAAAGGAAATTGTTTTTGGGAAATGATTTTTGATGAAAGGTTTGTGAAAACCGGACGCCTAGGAGGCGCCTAATGGTCCGGGGTATTAATGTGATCTAGAGGGAGGTTGAGCTACCTAGGCCTAGACGACACCATGGAGGTGCCATATGGTCGGCGAAAGCTAGCCAATCCTTCCCTCGTGGCGCCATAGAGGTGCTATGGGCCGGATTGCATTAACGGTTTGGAACGGTATAAAGGAATTGTTTTGAAAAACGGGGAGCGATATTGGCATGGCATTGCATCTCATTAGTATACTTGGTGTATGAGTGATTGGATGATATTTGGTTATATGTTAGTTGTGGTGTTATTGAGATATATACATACATATATATATATATTCCCTATGGCATGATCCCGTTTGCCTTTACCTATTCTTCGTATGGATTCACGGGGTCATAAGAAGTGTGTCTTAGACACTTCCTACTGAGCTTATGCTCACCCCTTTATTATTAATATTTTTCAGGATACGGAAGGGAAGTGGCGACGATGCTCCTCCACAGGGTTCGATGGGTTAGTGGACTGTTGTGACATATTTTGTAGCTATGATCTCATTTTATTTTTATTGCTATTACTATTTTTTTTTTTTTTAAACGCTGGGATGACACGTATATTATGTATTGACGTAGGAAAGGACGGTAGTGTCCTTAGTTGGCCTCGGGTTCGGATGAGGACCCGGTTAGCGATTTGGACCCTCGGGTTCGGGTCGTTACATTTTCTCCTTCTGCTTTTTGGTGTTGCTAGAAAAAGAAAAAAAAAACAAAAAGAAAAAAAATGTCAGCAATTGTTCGTATTGATAGTGTCAGAATATCCCGAGCCGAGTTCAATGCCTTAGTCAATTTGACACAACCCACATCTCTTGACAGTGTTGCCAACTTTACCCAAACAGGTAATGTTGCTTGTTTTTCGGACTTCCAGTCTTCCTCTTCCTCTTGGGTTCTTGACTATGGGGCATCTACCCATATAACGGGTAATAAATCTCTATTTTCTGATTTTCACAAGTTTAATTCTCCTTCTTTTGTTACTTTAGCCGATGGCAGGACTTGTCCCATTATTGGACAGGGCAGGGTACACTTCAATTAGTGCCTTCCATCTCGTTATCTCATGTGCAACTTGTTCCTAAGTTTCCTTTCAACTTATTATCTATGAGTAAGACCACTGAGGCACTCAACTGTTCCGTGACCTTTTACCCCTCATTTTGTGTGTTTCAGGATCTCAAAACGAAGAAAACAATTGGTGGCGGCATTGCGAAAAATGGTCTCTATTACTTGGATTGTGAGTCGCCTACTGGTGCTACTGCCCTCCATTCATAGGTCTCTGCCAATGCCCACCAGTGGCATTATCGGTTGTGTCATCCATCCTTAAGGTACTTGAAGTCTGCCATTCCTTCTCTTGGGTCAGTGTCTACTTTAGAATGTGAGTCGTGTCAATTAGGCAAGCACCTTATCAAGCCTTCCCACTTATTTTCTTTCTTTGTTCCAAATTCTATGCTCCGTTGTTGATAGAATTGAACAAATTCAAAGGAATTTCCTTTGGGGAGGAAGGGGAGATGAGTTCAAGTATCATCTTGTTAGATGGGAGCAAGTATGCAAGCCTATAAAATTGGGGGGTCTTGGTATTAGACGATTGATTCCTTTTAATCAAGCTCTTTTGGGCAAGTGGTTGTGGAGATACGGGAAGGAAAGACATCGTCCTTGGTGCAGATTAGTATCTTGCAGGTATGGGGAAGATGTTGGCGGATGGACTACTCGTTCGGTTTCTATTGCGGGAGGAGTTGGGGCTTGGAAATCCATTCGGAAAGGATGGGATGCCTTTTCCTCTCATATCAAATTCAGAGTTCGTGATGGTAGTTGCGTTCGTTTTTGGGATGATCTTTGGTGTGGGAACTAGCCTTTATGTCGTACATTTCCCAGATTATATAGTATTGCAGTTGATAAACATGCCAGAGTAGCTAACTGTTCTCAGCTTGATAATAGTGGGATTATGTGGAATGTTCATTTTCGGCGTTCATTTCAGGATTGGGAGTTGGAAGAGGAGCATTTTCTTGGATCAATTGTATCGGCAAGAAGGAATTGGCAGGGGTTATGACAATTTGATTTGGATTCCCTCCTCTCATGGGCGTTTTGCAGTAAGGTCTTTGTTCTTATGTCTGTCTAATTTTGCATCCTAGGATTTTCCATGGAAGACTATTTGGTGTTCTATGGCTCCTACTAGGGTGGCATTCTTTATTTGGACTGTTGTTTGGGGTAAGATTATGACGATCGATAATATGAGGAAAAGGGAAATTTTCTTGTTAATTGGTGTTGTTTATGTAAGCAAGATGGGGAGTCAGTCGATCATCTCCTAAAGCATTGCTCTGTAGCGCACGATTGCTGGAATCTCATTCTTGGCCTATTTGGCATGTGTTAGGTAATGCCACGCTCTACTAAGGAGCTGATTCATGCTTGGAGAGGTTGTCATGTGAGTAGGAGTGTTCGTGCTTATTTGAGATCTGTACCACATTGTATTTGGTAGTGCATCTGGAAGGAGCGAAATAGTAGAATGTTTGAAGGGAAGGAGTCGCCTATAGTGACACTGAAACTTTTTATTATTCGTTCTCTTTTTTGTTATGTGAACAGAAATTCGTGTTCCTCTTTTGTTGATTTAATTTCTTTTTTGGATTCTTTGGGGCCTTAGACCCCGGTTTCTTTTATGTCTACGGGACGCGTTCCCCTATTGAACGCCTTTTTTAATTTATTATTACTTATCAAAAAAAAAATTAGGTAAGCACCATAGAGTCTTGTTTCCTCCCCAAGTTGATAATCGCCGGTCTTCTTTATTTGAATTGGTACATACTGACATTTGGGGTGCTGTGCGTCATGTGAGTAATTCAGGTTTTTCATAGTTTGTTACCTTTGTTGACGACTATTCAAGGATGACTTGGTTGTTTTTAATGAAAAACCGATCTGAACGTTTTTCCATATTTAAATTATTTCTTAAAGAAATTGAGGTCCAGTTTGGCTGTGTTATAAAAAATTTCCAATCTGATAATGCTATGGAATATGTCAAAGGTGCTATTTCTACATTTTGTGAGTCTCGTGGACCTCGTGGTATTTTGCACCAAACTTCTTGCTCTTATACTCCTCAACAAAATGGCGTAGCAGAATGGAAAAATAGGCATTTAATTGAAATAGCTCGGACTTTAATGATCCATATGCATCTTCCAAAGCCTGTTTTAACTGCTTGCTATTTAATTAATCGTATGCCATCTTCCGTTCTTAACTGGAAATGCCCTTATTCTTTTGTTTTTCCTACTCGACCGTTATTTGCATTTACTCCTCGTGTTTTTTGGAGTGTGCGCTTTGCTCACATATTACGTCCTGGCACTGATAAATTGTCTCCTCGTGCCATTAAGTGTGTCTTTATTAGGTACTTTCGGACTCAAAAAGGTTATAAATGTTGGGACCGTAACACTAGTCGTGCTTTTGTGTGTATGGATGTTACCTTTTTTAAGGACACTTCTTACTTCTCTGCCAGTGGTTCATCTTTAAATACTGATTTGTTGCTTCTGCTACCAATTGTGTCTACTTCATTAGAGTCTGTCACACAACGACCACTACAAGTTTATAGTCGACGATCATAGGCAACCCGGCCCCAATTGTCTACTTCTATTGAGGTTCCTCCTCCTGCTAATGATATTCCTATTGCCTTGCGTAAAGGTATTCGTTCTTGTGTTACTGCACATCCTATTTCTAATTTTGTCTCATATAATCATGTTTCACCCTCTTTATCTTGTTTTTTATCCACATTATCTGCTACTGTTATTCCCAAGACTTTGCAGGATGCCCTTTCTAATTCCAATTGGCGCAAAGCAATGGTTAATGAAATGGATGCTCTTCATCATAATGGGACATGGGATCTTGTTCCCTTACCTCTTGGTTCCAAACCGGTTGTTTGTAAGTGGGTCTACACTGTCAAATACCTTCATGATGGGTTTATTGAGCGTTTGAAGGCTCGTCTTGTTGTAAAGGGGTACACCCAGACTCATGGTGTTGATTATGATGAGACTTTTTCCCCTGTTGCAAAGATTTATATGGGTCCTTATTTCCATTGCTGCCAATCGTAACTGGCTGTTGTTTCACTTAGATGTGAAAAATGCTTTCTTACATGGCGACTTAATTGAAGAAGTTTATATGGAGCAACCACCTGGGTTTGTTGCTCAGGGGGAGTATCGTCATACCGTTTGTCGCATAGTTGTTAAAGTCGCCGAAGGCGCGCGCCTGAGTCACCACCTTGGCACCTTGAAAGGCTTAGGGCGAGGGCCTTGTACTAGGTGCGCGCTTTTGGGGCTTAGGTGCAGGGCTACAGGCGCGCCTGTTTGAAAAAGTTTTTTTTTTTGATTATTTTGGTTGTGACTTGTGTGAGACAGTGAGTCTGTGATATAAAAATATTCAGATATGTTAAAGACTTGAAGCTTTTATCACTTGCAAGTTACAAAGCCAAAAAAAAAAAAAAAAAAAGAATCAAAAAGCAAAAGGCAAAAGGAAAGAAAATACAGAGAAGAGAGAGAGAAGTATGAAGCCGGAACTGGAAGGGAAGCTCGGATCTGCCGTCTGCGAAGCCCGGATTTGCGAAGCGCCGGTAAGTTCTCCACTTCTCCTTGCTTCTTCTTTTTCTCTCCTTCTTACTTCTTCTTCTCTTCTCGGTTTTTTTTTTTTTTTTTTCTCTCTCTTCAGTCTTCTCTCGGCTCTCCTTGACTATAGTCTCTTGAGTCTTGCTTGTATTTTTTCCTTCTCTCGGCTCTCAGCCTCTCTCTGATATTTTTTTCTTATTTTTATTTTTTCTATTCTTCTTCTTCTTGGCTCTTTTTTTTTTTTTTTCTTTATTTCTTTTTTTTTCTTTTTCCCTCTATTCTTCTTCTCTCGACTCTCAGCCTCTCTCTAATATTTTTTCTCTTTTTTTTTTTTTTTTTTTTCCTATTCTTCTTCTTAGCTCTCTCTGCTTCTGCTCTTCAGCCTCTTCTTTTATTTTTTATAATCTGTGCTGCTAGAATAAATTGTAGTTTACAACTTTACAATTCTGTGCTGCTGGAATAAATTGTAGTATACATATCAGTTGGTATATGCCTATATGGTATCATGCAGTCCATATATGCATATATATTACATCTCATATAGTAGATAAATCTCATATAGTATATGCAAGTAATAAGTGTGTATATAAATGTATCAACATGTTAATTGTCAAGGTGTTTGTGACAATGTGACTTGTGAGCAGTCCATGAAATGTTAATATTGCTTTGAGCCTTTGATTCTTTGAAGCTCTGTAATTTTTTTTTTTTGTCAGAGTTCGTTGTAGACACTGATTACATGATGCTAATCATGTTATTATTTTGTTATCTTGAATTTGATTGTAGTTTGTACTTTAAAAGATGCCTAGTGATGGTTCAAGAAAGGATCCGGCATGGAATTACTCACATTTGGAGAATCTGAAAGATACAAATGCCGTCACTTGTAACTTTTGTGCAAAAGTTACAAAAGGAGGTATTTATCGGGCTAAGTAACACTTAGTTGGAGGGTATTGAAATGTGAGTGCATGCACAAGATGCCCATCTAGTGTTAGAGAAGAAATCAAAGAATACATGAGTAAGAAAAAGGAAGAAAAAGAGCAAATGAATTTGTTACCTAGTGATGAAATTAATTTCATTGATGGAGAGGATGAGGATGACGCTATGGAAGTTAACAATCGGGGAAAAAGGGTAGCTAGTGCAAGTAGTGACAGTGCTAGTGTCAATTCCTCAAAGATGCAAAGCAAAAGGGACCGATTGATTTATATTTCACTCCCAGACCGGAAATTGTGGTACAAAGAAGAAAGGAGGGGGGAAAACAGACAACCATTAATGATGCATGCAAGAAAGAGTTGAGAGGAAGAGCGTGTACTGCTTTTGCAAGGTGGATGTATGATGCAGGGATTGCATTCAATGCTGTTAAGTATGATAGCTTTGTCGAGGTTGTTGAAGCAATTGGACAATATGTTCCTGGCATGAAACCACCTAGTTATCATGAGGTGAGAGTTCCTTTGCTTAGGAAGGAATTGGATAATACCAATGCTTTGATGAATGACCATAGAGAGGAGTGGTCAAAATTTGGATGCTCATTAATGGCAGATGGGTGGACAGACAAAAGAGAGGGAGAACATTGCTTAATTTCCTAGTAAATAGTCCAAGGGGAACCATGTTTATTGAATTGATAGATACTTCTTCTTTTTCAAAGGATGGTGCAAAGATGTTTGACTTACTTAATAAATTTGTGAACCGCATTGGAGTAGCAAATGTCGTCCAAGTCGTCACAGATAGCGAATCAAGCAATAAGTATGCCGGTAAGAATGTTCAATGTTTATAACTTTTAGAGTTTACATTCTTTAAAAATTTATAATTTAAATCTTTTTTGATTTACTCATTCTCTTTATATCATTTTTTCTTTTTTCCGTTTGGTTTCAAATAGGGAGGATGTTAGAGAAAGAACACCCACATTTGTATTGGACACCATGTGCTGCTCATTGCTTAGACTTGATGTTGGAAGACATTGGGAAAATACCGTCCATCTCTAGAACAATGCAGAGGGCAGTGGAGTTGAATAGTTATATTTATATGCGTCCAAAGTTGTTAAACATTATGAGGAACTTTACTCATAAAAAGGAGTTGCTTAGGCCTGCTAAGACTCGATTTGCTACATGTTTCATCACATTATCAAGTAGTCACAAGCAAAATAATAACTTGAGAAAGATGTTTACTTCAGAAGAATGGAATCGTAGTAAATGGGCGAAAGAGGAAGCCGGTAAAAGAGTTGCTTCTTATGTTTTGATGCCTTCCTTTTGGAACAACATTGTCTTTAGCCTTAAGGTATCTGGTCCTCTTATTCCGGTTTTGAGATTAGTTGATGGCGAGAAAAAGCCTCCCATGGGATACATTTATGCGGCTATGGATAGGGCTAAAGAAGCCATTGCAAAATCATTTGGGGAAGTAGAAGACAAATACAAGGATATTTTTGAAATAATTGATAAAAGGTGGAATGTTCAACTTCATCGCCCTTTGCATGCAGCAGGTTATTATTTGAACCCAGAATACTTTTATTCAAATCCTAAAATTGAAGAAGATGAAGAGATTGCAAAGGGTTTGTATGCATGCATTGCAAGGTTAGTTCCGGATGTCAAAGACCAAGACAAAATTACCGAGGAGCTGTCCTTATATTCTAAAGCTGAGGGCTTCTTTGGTAATCCCTTTGCTATTAGATAGAGAAGTACACGAGGACCAGGTAAAGTGGTAAAGTATATTAAGTTAGTATAGCTAAGTGTTAAAATTATTTTGACAATAGAGTCGATAGAAAGATGAAGCTAAAGTTGCTAAACATCATTATTAATTTTTTTTAATAGCTAATTGGTGGGAAGCTTATGGCAAGTCAACAAAACTTCTCCAAAAGTTTGCTATAAAGGTTTTAAGCCTTACTTGCAGTTCTTCTGGTTGTGAACGAAATTGGAGCGTGTTTGAGCATGTAAGTATATACTATCTACTAACTAGGTTTGTAATTTAATTGTTGAAAATTAAAATTTTAATTTTTTATACTTACTAGTTAAAGTTGAATTTATTGCAACTTCATAGCAAGAAAAGAAATAGGCTCACTCAAACAACTTTAAATGATTTAGTGTTCATCAAATATAATAGAGCATTGAGGCATCGATATAATATGTGTGACACTCTTGATCCCATTTTACTCGATGACATTGATGAGAGCAACGAGTGGTTGACGGGGAGGATGGATGATTCTGATGCAGAACATGATCTAGTCTATGAAGATGATTCCTTGACATGGGGTGATGTTACTAATTTTGCTGGTATTGGAGAGGCTAGCAGGCCGCAACGGTCTACTAGATCAAAATCTAGTTCTAGTTCACGGTTACCAACAAAGGGAGCTGGAAGTTCTTCAGTTCGACTTGTGGATGAGGATGAGGATGATTCAGATGAGATAGAAGAGGATCCTGAGAATTATGAATCATTTAGTGATGATCAAAATGATGTTATGCTTATTGATGACGAGAATGATATTTAGATTCATTAGTGTTGTCTTCTTAGGAAGAAATGATGTTTATGTTTGTTTTAGTTTTATCTTATACTTCTCCTTAGTTGACTTTTGCATCTTTATGTTAATATGTTTGATTATTCACTGTTTTGAACTCAAGTACTTGATTTACTTGGTTTTGGCATCTTTATGTTGAATATTTAACTTAAGTAATTCATTTAGTTGACTTTTACATCTTTATATATACTATTGCATCTTTAATACTTTATTGGGTGGGTTTTGTTTTTTTTTTTTTTTTTTTTTTTTTTTTCCAACGTGCGCCTTGCTTCAGTCGGGCGCGCGCCTCGCCTTGCGCCTCAAGCTTCAGGAGGCATTTGTGCTTTTATGCGCCTTGAGCCTTTAACAACTATGGTTTGTCGCCTTAGGAAGGCCCAGCATGGATTGCAGTGATCTCTAAGGGCTTGGTTTGGAAAGTTCTCTGCGATAGCATTAGCATTTGGTCTTAAAAGATGTCAGACAGACCATTCGGTGTTTCACCAGCACACTAAAGCTGGTTTCATTTTCCTTATGGTATATGTAGATGACATTGTGATCACAAGTGATGATTCTGAAGGTATTGTTAAATTGAAGTTGTTTCTACAAAATCAGTTCCACACTAAAGACTTGGGTTAACTCAGATATTTCTTGGGTATTGAAGTTGCTAGATCCAAGGAAGGTATAAGTTTATCTCAAAGAAAATACGTGTTTGATTTATTAGAAGGAATAGGTATGTTGGGTGGTCGTCCTGTTGATGCTCCTATGGATCCAAATACAAAACTCTTGTCAAATTAGGGTGATCTATTTGATGATCCTGGCAGACATCGACGGCTTTTTGGGAAATTAATTTATCTCACCTCGACCGGATATCTCATATGCAGTTAGTGTCATAAGTCAGTTCATGGGATCTCCTAGCTTATCACATTGGAATGCAGTTCTTCGGATTATCCGATACCTCAAGCAAGCTCCAGGTTTTGGGTTGCTATATAAACCAAATGGACATCTTAGGGTGGAAGGTTTCACAGATGCTGACTGGGTTCTCCCTCAGATAGGAGATTTACTACAGGCTATTGCACATTTGTTGGTGGAAATCTTGTTACATGGAAAAGTAAAAAAGCAAACAGTGGTAGCACGGTCTAGCGCTAAAGCAAAGTACAGGGTGATGGCCCATACCTCTAGTGAGTTAACGTGGATACAACATTTTCTTGAGGAACTTGGGTTAATAGTCAAGACTCCTATTCCATTGTTCTATGATAACCAAGCAGCTGTTCACATTACATCCATTCCGGTATTTCATGAAAGAACCAAGCATATTGAAGTTAATTATCACTTCACTCGAGAGAAAATATTGAGTGGGAACATTTCTACTCCATTTGTGAAGTCTGAAGATCAATTAGCAGATATGTTTACTAAGGCTCTTGGTCATAATCGGTTAAAGGCGATTTGTTCCGTGTTGGGATTATATGATATATATTCTCCAGCTTGAGAGTGAGTGTTAGAACATTTATATGTAGATATATATATTTATGTTGGGTCAGTTTGTAATTGTATATAGAGTTTGTGGCCATTATGCAAATAGACCTTTCTTGTCTTTGTATATAAACCCTTTTATGTTTAGGGTTAATGATATGAAACTGAGGCTGCGCCTCCACCATTTTGCTCTGCTCCATCTGCTCTCTCCTCTCTCTCTTTCATCACACATTAAACCTTTCACAATAACCTCATATATATAGCCACTACAGAAGACTCATGTAGTATGGTAAGCAAAATCGTTATAGGGTTTTGTTCGATTGAGTGAGCCTTCAATCGACAGACTGCCTTGTTCACTAACAGGAATTAATTTTTGATTTCTACTGTCAATTACAAAAATAGGAATCAAAAGTCAAAATCATGTTTAGTAAAATATTTTCACTTTTCAATTTTAAGGAAGTACTTTCTAATTTTGTGAAGAGAAGAAAAAGTGAGAAATCCTCACTTTCTCTATTTCTGTACTGTAGCAAGGAATTATTTCCTTTTACTGTAGTGCTCAGATTTGCTCTCTCTCTCTCTCTCTCTCGGTTTAACCTTAAGCCAATTTGGCTGAAAGTATATGAACGGGGGCGGCTAGCAGTGACTCCAAGCGAGGCCGGATTGAACTTATCGGCGGACCAAACGGCGACGAGGCTGTGACGATGCGTGCAAGGAATCCGGCAATTGGGCATCAGAGAGGGAGACCCAAATTCGCATCCACAAGCAATTCACTCTCCAAAGTTCTATTCCTAGTCAGTTTGTCCGTGGATTCCGGCATCGAAGAGGGAGACCCAAATTCGAGTTTGTGGTTTCCGTGGATTCCGGCATCGGCAAACAGTATATAGAGAGAAATTGATGAGGTTGAGGTCCACGATCCGACATCTAAAGAGAGAGATGATTCACTGGGTTACTCATCTCTTACAGACAATATACTAAAATCCCATGAATGGGCTCACGAAGCATGAGGTCTCCATACCCAATTGAATATTGGAGGAGTTGAGGCCAGTCATTCAAGAGAAGAGTTTGGTCACTACTAAAAGTAAATCATAATTTTACACCTTGCTTCTGGGTTGGTTGGTGCACACCGAAACTGGGTCGACTAATGGCACGCCGGAGCAGACCAAGTTTAGTCCGGCATTGAGAGACCCAGTTTCGTGAATTTCTTGCTCGTCCTTCTCAATGACATTGTGTTTTTTTTTGGTTTTTTCTGATGCTCTGTTTTATGCTAAAATCTGTTAGTTGCATACAACACTCACTCCTTCTCTTATATATATATATCTACACACACACACACACTCTGTACTCATCATAATCAAAATTTAGAGAAGAGAAAGATAACAGGAAAGCAAAACTAAAATCAAAATTATTAAACTTACTTTCTGTTCTTTACTTTCAAAATATTAAAAATAAAATCTTCTTATTAAACATCATTTTACTTTCTACTTCATCTCAAAAAAGTAAAATCATGATTTTACTTTTGAAGAAAGTAAAAGCGTTAGTGAACAGGCCCTTAGGAGTTGCTTCAATTTATTGGACCATTTGGTTGATGCTCTCAGTCTATGATTGTGTAAATTCAGACAGTCCCTCCATCATGCAACTTATCAATTGGCAGTCTCTGGAAGGTGAGGGTTCCAGACACCATGAGGGCAAATGGGTTTGTGAGTTTCTTGCCAAGAATACATCAATAATAAAATACAGTTTTGAAAAATGTTTAAATCCTTTAGCTTTGAAAGGCCATATTTCAAAAAAGTCATTTAAAATGAAACTTTGAGCCTCTCATAGATCAATCTAGGTCATTTAAGATCTTCCTGAGGTCAATTTACATGTGTCCTAGATATGAGATTGAAGATGTGGATTCTTGCTGTGTTCTTCGCAAATTTGTATCTGCACCAACTTTAATGATTGTACGCGAATGATTAAAGACACTTTGACACATTAAAACCCTAGTTTTGAGTAAAAAATTGCCAACACGTTACTCATATTCCTAACATTCTCCCCCTTTGGCAATTCCAAAACAGAACTTAAAACCAAGTACATGCGTAAGGATAACTGAGCTAATAAAAAATCCAAATCACCCTCACATGTACATAGAAAGAAATATGACGACTCAAAATCTGCTTATGTTCTCAGTCAACTCCAAATTACGCATAATGTTGACCATAAATTCCAAACATGGAAAACATATCCAAGCATAATTTTGTCAGCACAAATAAATATAAAAACATGATATATGAAGCAACAAGACATACAACATGAATATCAAGGCTCTATTATATCATAAGGCTGAAAACATCTCTCCCCCTTAATATAGTATCCCATTTATTCTACCATTTATGGCCCTTTTTGTTACATAACTGACAAAAAGATATAGAAAAACATATAGGAGATATAAAAATAAACAAAAGAAAAACCGAGGATCAAATTTCTATTTTTTTTTAAGACAGCAAAATTTGTTATATGAGAAAGAGGTTACAGAATAAGTTACAGGACTCTAACCTAAGAATCACTCAGTCTGTCCTGACTTAGACTTATGCAAGACCTCCCCAGATCCTCTGGCCGTTGATTCATCGACAGACTCGCTCCTCACATTATCTGCTTCTTCATGGATTTCTGATCTTTCCAATGACTAGTAATGTTCGATCAACTTGTTCTTTGCGAACCACTCAGTTGATGCATTTGGTGGATAATTTCAATTCTACTCCATGCTTTGATTCTATTGATCACATATAGTATGATAATTTACGAAGATCCCTAGATTGATTCTCTAAGTTTTCTTTCTCTAAAAGTATATACGATGATCCCTAGATTGATTCTCTAAGTTTTCTTTCTCTAAAAGTATATACGAAGATCCCTAGATTGATTCTCTAGGTTTTCTTTCTCTAAAAGTATACTTTCTCCCAACAATATGTAAAGAATTGAAAGCTCCCATGAGAGATAATCTAGACTTTCTTTACCATGTAGGATGGTAGGTACAATCCTTTTAGGATTCTGATTTGAGAGAGTCTCCATAAAAGTGTGTCCACAGGGTTCAATCGATGGAGCTTCGATTGACGCCTTTTGGAGTTGCTTCTATTGGTCGACCATTTAGTCGATGTTCTTGATATATTGTTCCGGCAAATTCAGACAGTCCCTTGATCAATCAGCTAGAATGCACCAATCGACCTATCAATCAATGCACTCTGCTGTTCAGTTTGAAATACAGTTTTGTAAAATGTTTAAATCCTTTAACTTTGAAAAGCCAATTTTCAGAAACTCATTTAAATCAAAACTTTGAGCCTCTCCAAGATCAATTTAGGTCATTTAAGTTCTTCCTGAGGTTGATTTACCTTCGCCTTAGATATATGATTGAGGATGCAGATTTCTTTTTTTTTTTCTTCACACGTCTGTGTCCGCCTTGTCTTCAATGGTTGTACTTGAGTTGTCAAGACGCTTTGATTCATTACAACCTAAGTTTTTAGTAGGAAATTTTCAACATATGACTCATATACCTAACACTCCTGTTCCTTGGCACCTTCTATTTATATTGCTCCTTACTAGCACATTCATTGATTTTTATGATACATGAACATAATAATTTAAGCCTCCTCTCATCTTCTCATTTATTGGCCCTAGCTCTTAGTTCTTGTGAAGAGTCTAAATTCCCGATTCTAAGATTGTCTTGCATCTCAGCCTTCATAATGCATCCATTTCAGTCTTGCAACTCAGCCTTCATAAAATTTCCATTTCAGTTACACTCTCATCCTGTAGACATGTTTCTTGGTTTGTGTGTGTGCATCTTTGCATGCTTACTACTATACTTTAACTCCACCAGTGTGACCGGTCTGATGACAATAAATTCTATACAGGTTGGGCAATATCTATAGGTTGTTCTCTGAAAGAAAAACTGAAAAATATGATCTGATCTGATCATCTGTATGATACTCTATGCAGATATACTTTACCGTTCAGATTTTTTTCCCGGTCTAGGATGGATGCTGTCTAAAACTACATGGGATGAACTGTCTCCAAAGTGGCCAAAGGCATATCCTTTTAGTCTAATGCATTTTAGTATGTAGTTCAAACTTTCAGATTGTTATACACATCTCTTGAAACAGTTTCTTTGACAAAAGAATTTCACTTACTGGGATGATTGGTTGAGGTTGAAAGAAAATCACAAAGGCCGACAGTTTATTCGTCCAGAAGTTTGCAGAACATATAATTTTGGCGAGCATGTACGTATATCTGTTTCAATGTTCAGAATATCTTTTTTTGTTCAATGCCATTCATACCCTGTATTTATTTTGGGATATGTTAGAATAGGCATATTTATCTATGGAACATTTCATACTATTTGTTTATATATTTATGTCTTTTCCTCAGCTCCTCCAAAAGTGAGGGTTTCTTTTTTCCTTGAAATGAATAGCTTCTCAGCAAAATAACATAAATGTTTAGTTGTTCTAGTTCTATGGCGGTGGTACATTCTTTTACATTGAATATTGTCGTTTTGTACCATTTATGGTCTTTAGCTCGATTTTGAGATATCTTCTTACAGTTGCCTCAGTAACGATGTGTGCATTTGTGCAGGTTTGGTTAATTCTCTAAATGATTCTCAGATTTTTCCTCCATAATTAAAAGTATACTTTTGTCCACATGCTGTTCTAAAATCGTTGCTGGGAAAATCTGTTTTATGTGGGAAAAAAAATCTTTCATATGCTAGGACAAAACTTTCAAGAAATTTATAGGGAACCTTCTAAAACATTTTGGAAACGCTCTAGAAACTTCAGGGAAACTCACAATGAACTTTATGGTCAGGAAATTCTGGTTCAATTTGTTTCGATAAATCTCTCTCTTTGTTTATGCTTTTGAAGCCATTTTTTTTTTTTTTTTTTCCAAATATAATCGAACATTTTTTTTACATGTTCCTTTAGTTATTATCTAAACTTTGCACCTTGATGTACTGCACAACATTTTTTTTTCTTTCTAATGTTTCTTTTTAGTTTTATCGAAGTTTATGAGTTTTCTAGACAGGCTTCTCATTTAATTTTGAGTCCTCGCATTTTATCATTTTTGTGATACTGTATTGATCATGTATACAACTTCCACTTGGTGTTCTGTAACTATGGTTTTAATGTGATTATGTTAAGGCTGAATATATTATGCAATCTTATGGGTCAAAAAATTCTCTGTGACGCAGGCGTTCCTCTAAAATTTGAACTTCAAGCATCTGAATTCTTGTTTTTTGCATCACTTAGACAATACTGTCAAATACTTCCTCTGCTGGCAGATCAATTCCCTATAACATATTTTATATTTAATGTTACTAATTATAGTGCATCATGCCCTTACAACTGTGGTTTCCTCAAATCTCGAGTCATTGTGATTTCCTTGCAGGGTTCTAGTTTGGGGCAGTTTTTCAAACAATATCTTGAACCTATAAAGCTGAATGATGTCCAGGCATGTGATAAGTTTTCTTATAGTGTTTTCTATCTGGTTGTAGTTTCTGGACAATTTGTAATATATTAACAGTTTTTGCTCTTTCTGAAAGGTCGATTGGAAAAGAATGGATCTGAGCTACCTGATGGAGGTATAAGGGACTTGTAATGACCATTTGAGGTGAATTCAGCATTTTGTATTTTTGTGGTCAACTAACATATTCTAAATTTTTAGGACAAGTATGTGAAGCACTTTGCTGACATGGTTAAAAATGCAAAACCCATATATGGAACTGATGCTGTTCTGAAGGCAAATAACATAGATGGTGATCTGCGTATTCAGTACAAAGACCAGGCTGATTTTGAACGCATTGCACTTCAATTTGGCATTTTTGAAGAGTGGAAGGTAGTTTAGCTTATCTTTGTTTATACTCAGAAATAGAATCTGGGTGATTTCGCATGATTGATTTGCTTTGTAACTCCCTGTTGCTTCTTCATTTAATGGAAGCATATGAGCTCTAGGAGAGAGACTGGGTCATTAATTTTGAATGTACCTGATACTCGGATCTCTATTGATCCATTTGACCTCAAATTGTTGGTGGTGTTTAAGTTTAATGAACATCTTGTTTTCTGGTTCTTTGAAAATGGTTAAATCACCTATTTCCGTTAGGCTAGGATTTCAAATGGATGAACAGGAGCATCTCAGCCCTAACCCCCATGTTAATACTTTAGGTTCAATTACTTCAGAACTATAATTTAAATTTAGATTGTGTAATTTAGATTTAAGTTTTAATAACATGCGTGGATTGACTTGAGAGGATTACATATGTGGAATTCAAATAATGAGGTATAAGGTGTTAGTTGAATTCCATGCCGTATGGATTGAAGTTACAGAAGAATTGTGTTTGGCCACAAAAATTCTGTCTGTTACAGGTGGAAGGTGCAGGCGTGCCCAGATTCACCGAGAATCCAATGGAAATGGAATAGCGCCAAACTATATTCCAAATCTGGCTTTGAGAGGCTTGAAGATCAGGCGATTGTCGAGAGCTTGGAATGACTGCTCTTGCTAGGTTCTTTTTGCCTTTGTGGAAAAGGACTTCGGAAATGGAAAGATGGAATGGAAAAAAGATGGGAATGCTTGGTGAAAATGCAGCTGGAAGAATGAAATGGATACTAGTGTTGGAAATTAAAGGAATTGAAATACATGCGCGGGAAATTAAAGCTCTCGAAAGGTAAAGATTGCATTAAGAAAAGAGTAAGTGCATGTATTGAAATGCAAAGTAGATGAAAATAGGAGTTGTTTGATTTGTGTGGAGATGCCCTTTCATTCTATCCAAGTCTTATATTTATAGCCAGTAGCAGTTCCATCTGTTGTTGAGATGCTTCCAAGTGGAACGTCTGATTTGTGCCATGTTGAACGTATGATTTGTGCCAAGTGTCCCATGTCTCCCCTAGTCTCTCATAATGTTGACACGTGTAAGGATATGCTCTCCCATGAATTACAGCTTTGGAGGAGTGGTTTTGGTGGTTCAATACCAATTAAAGGCTTCTAGCCACGTTCTGGAATTGCTAAGTGGAATGGACCACGATCTTCTAACTGCCTATAACTGCTCCTTCATTAGCTGCCATGTGTCCTATGACTTTTCAACTTGTAGGTAACTACCTCCCTCTATGCAATTAGTTGTACCACGTGTCGCTTCATAATTGCACCCTTATCAGCATATCAATCGTCCAATTGGAAACGTTCACCCTCCCTTTCCAACTGGAAATGGCCGATAGTTATGGTATAAACATTGTCCCCCATATTTTGTGTCTGATATTCTCTAACGAATAATAAGGCATATAAAATTTTAGATAATGAGTGAGAATTTGGCATATAATACTTCCATTGGGTGAGGAATGGGACAACTAGAAATTTTCAGCCTATTGTCTAGGCTGACAGTTGTAAGCTTGAGGGCTTGATACCTTCCATCCAATTCGTTGCCCCTTGGGGTCTGGAGTTTTACAAGGAAAACGATTTTGTACATCTTCTGGCCAAATACACAGTTGATTGGCCATGTTTTGCCCCCAAAACACCACCAGAGGTGGGTTTAGATCTACTAGAAGGTTGCTCCTCCATCGAGGTTTCTTTAGAGGGGGTTGTCCTTCAAACGCCATTGGAAAGGTCATAGGTGGCCTGGGTGGTGTGGTTGTAAATTGTTGAGTGCTCACAAATGGAACCTGAGAAGGAGGTGGCTGGACTATTATTGGTGGAAGATACTACACCTCGGGTGAAACTTGCACCTGTAGTGGAAGTAGTTGAACTACTACTGGTGGAAGGTTCTGCACTTGAGGTTTCACTTGAAGTGGAACCCGAACTGGTGTTGGTTGTGGCTGCATTGCTGGTGGAATCAACGCCTGAGGTGGTAGCCGTTGCTGAGCGCATGGACAGGGTTGTATATGCTGTCGGGACCTTTCCTATTTTGCTATTGCATTCCGAACACATTCTCGGAGCTTTTCCTTGAGTTCTTGAAAATATTACTCACATTCTTCGACAATAATAGGCTAGGACTCGTTGAAATTCTTCTTCCATCCATTATCTCCAATTTCTTTTACCGGTGGTCTCACCGGGCGTGCCAATATGTTTGGCCACAAAAATTATGTCTGTTCCAAGTGTAAAGGTGGAAGGTGCAGGCGTGCCAGGATTCGCCGAGAATCCAATGGAAATGGAATAGAGCCAAACTATATTCCAAATCTAGCTGCGAGAGGCTTGAAGTTTAGGCGATTGTGGAGAGTTTGGAATGACTGCTCTCGCTAGGTTCTTTTTGCCTTTGTGGAAAAGGACTTCGGAAATGGAAAGATGGAATGTAAAAAAGATGGGAATGCTCGGGGAAAATGTTGCTGGAAGAATGAAATGGACTGAACTAGACTGAATTTCATCAAACTAAGAACTGAAGTACAAGTGCTAGAAATTAAAGGAATTGAAATACATGTGCGGGAAATTAAAGTGCTTGAAAGGTAAAGATTACACTAAGAAAATATTAAGTGCATGTATTGAAATGAAAAGTAGATGAAAATGGGAGTTGTTTGATCTGTGTGGAAATGCCCTTTCAATGTATCCAAGTCTTCTATTTATATCCGGTGGCAATTCCATCTGCTGTTGAGATGCTTCCAGGTGGAACGTCCGATTTGTACCACGTGGAACATCTGATTTGTGCCACGTGTCCCATGTCTACCCTAGTCTTCTCACATTGTTGACATATATAAGGATATGCTCTCCCATGAATTGTAGCTTTGGAGGAGTGGTTTTGTTGGTTCAATACCCAATTGAAGGCTTCTAGCCACATTCTGGAACTGCCAAGTGGAATGAACCACAATCTTCTAACTGCCTGTAACTGCCTCTAACTTGCAAATAACTGCACCTTCATTAGCTGCCATGTGTCCCACGACTTTTCAACTTGTAGGTAATTACCTCCCTCCTCTTTGCTAACACGTGTCCCTATGCAATTAGTTGTACCAAATGGCTTCCTATGATGAAGCCACGTGTCTCTTCATGATTGCACCCTTATCTGCACATCACCCTTCCAATTGGAAACGTTCACCCTTCCATTGGGATCGGCCACGACAACCTTTCCAACTGGAAATGGCTGATAGTTATGTTATAAACAAATTTTTAAAAAATGCTGAGGTTCATAGTAATGCATTTTGGTTATAGTATCTTTTGGATCATTTTAACCTTTTGGATCCAAATTTAATGAATAGTTTTTATTTAAGCCCAAATCCCTTGAATCCATTCATTTATCCAAATAAAACATTAAAACTTCTTGTTACCAAGTGATCATAGTAATGCATGTAGTATCAAGTCCTTAAAAATTATTTTATTTTATTTTTTTTTAAATTTCTTAATATAGCTATTGAAAGAGAGAGAGAAAGAGAATATATGAAAACGTATATCTTATTGAGTGAGTAATACACTAATACAATTGTGTTTATATAGGAGAAGCTACGGGAGTAGGTGAGTGGAGAACAAGTAAACCCTATACATGGTAATTCTATATATGGTAATGAGGGGTAGGTGACAATTTATACAATACTAATTGTACACGTGTGACAATTCATACAATATTGTACAACGTGCCAACTCATACAATACTGTACAACACTTCCCCTCAAGCTAGAGAGTAAATGTCAATACCTCCTAGCTTGCTACATATGGAATCAATAGAGTTCTTTGGAAGCGCCTTAGTGAAGATGTCTGCAAGCTGCCTACCAAAAGGAACAAAAGGTGTAACAATCTCATTCGAGTCAACTTTAGATCGAATAAAATGACAATCTACTTCAATGTGTTTAGTCCTCTCATGGTAGACTGGATTGCTAGCAATATGAATAGCTGCCTGATTGTCACAATGGAGAGGAATTGGGTACTGAACTGAAATCCCAAGTTCCTGTAAAAGGGTTTTCAACCAAGTAAGTTCACAGGCAGTGTGTGCCACGGCATGATACTCTGCTTCAGCACTAGAACAAGCCACAACTGATTGTTTCTTACTCCTCTAAGTTACTAGATTTCCTCCTATGAAGGTGCTGTAACCCGTGGTGGACCGTCGATCAGAAGGAGAACCGGCCCAATCTGCATCTGTGTATCCCTCAATCCGAAGATGTCCAGAAGATCGATAAAGCAGACCACATCTTGGAGCACCTTTGAGATACTTCAAGATGCGTACAACTGCCTCCATGTGAGGTACCCAAGCACTGTTCATGAACTGGCTCACAACACTGACTGCATAGGAGATGTCTGGACGAGTGATTGTAAGGTAAATAAGTTTACCTACAAGTCTCCGATACATCTCTGGATCGTCGAGTGGGTCACCATCATCCACCTTAAGTTTTACATTAGTCTCCATAGGTATAGCTACAAGTTTCAAACCAAGATATCCAGTATCGTGTAAGAGATCAAGAGTATACTTCCGCTAAGAAAGACTAATGCCTTACTTCGACCGAGCCACCTCAATTCCTAGAAAATAATGAAGTTTGCCCAAATCCTTATAAAGGAAGCTAGAACTCAAGTGATAGATTAGAACTTGTATCCCATCTTTGTCATTGCCAGTGAAAACGATATCATATACATACACCACAAGAATCACAATACCACGTTTCATTTTCTTAAAAAAGAGAGTGGTCAGCCTGGCTTCTGGTCATACCATGAGCTAACACTGCATTTCTGAACTTATCAAACCATGCACGAGGGGACTATTTGAGGCCATAGATAAACTTCATGAGATGACACACACACTCCCCCTTAGACTTAAACCTAAGCGGTTGAGTCATATAGATTGTCTCAGTAAGGTCACGATGGAAAAAGGCATTTTTAACATCAAGTTGATGAAGTGGCCAATCTAGATTAGCTGCAAGAGAGATTATCACACAAAC